ACCTGGTGATTTTATAAAAAAAACTACTACTACTACTTTTTTTTTTTTTTTACATATATTTTTTTTTTCTCCATGGCTCCCTGGACCCCTCTGGGTGCTAGACCAAAGGATCAACGAACCCCCCCACCTAGACAAAGAAAACTGGCCGAGACCACAGAGAGATGTCCCAAGAAAAGTGAAACAAAAATGGGATGTTCTCACAACAAATGATAGGAGTAAAGCTGCTGGAAATGTTGGAATTCCGTTACAAAACAGATTTGCTCCACTCCAAGATGAGACCCAGAAGGATCACAACGACAATCAAAGGTATGTCAACAATCTTCACTCTAAGCTACCAGAGAAAAAACAGGCCACAGGGCCAAGGACCCTGATATTATGCAATGGATCTATAAGTGGGATTAAACATTTCGTTAACAGGAAAAACACAGAGGTGCTGATTTATAACCCTTCGAACTGTGGCCTGGTCTCTAATGTATCAGACATCCTTCCAGAGATCATGAAAAAAACGACCGACCTTGGAAAAACTCATCATACAAGCTGAAGCCTTGGGCGACACAGCCCTGAGAAAATCAGAAATACTGAAAGAGGATTACATTCGTCTGCTGAATTTAGTTGATGGTCTTAATGTCAAGGAGTTTCTCAGCGGCCCTCATGTGCCCATTAATTGTGGAGATGAAATGTTTTCCAGAGTTCTGATGTTAAACAAATGGCTGGATGCAACATGCAAACAAACAGCTGTAACGTTCATAGACAACTTTAACATCTTTGGGGAGAGGAGACATCTGTTCAACAGAGATGGTTTCTCTCTAAATTGGTCAGGCGCAAAATGGCTGATATAAAACATTTTCTATTCTGTGAACCATGCACCATCAGCTTTGTTCCAAAACAAAGCTCAATCAGTGCCTAAACAAACGATAAGCCCAGTACAGCCCAACCAAGCCAAGATAAAGATGTCCAGAAAGAGGACACAGAAAGAGCCTACGTCAGAACTACAGGAGGATTCATCCCAGATCTCAGCAGGACAAAAAGAGGACTCCCCTTTAAATTCCAAAGAGAACCAAAAACCCCAATCCCCACAGACACCAGTCCAGACTGCACCCACCTCCCTCTCTTGTCTACAAAGCCCAGATGTTCCTTTGCTGGAATTTTCTCATAACAGGAACAAAGTTTTTAAGATAGGCCTACAGTTGACATCCTCTCCACTTAGCCATTCTGAAAACCGCAGCTATGAGACAAAACCAGCATCTTCTAAAAGCCGCAGAGCCCCAGATCCTCCTCTACATATCACGGAACGTCAGGACCTTCAGATAACTTCTCCGTGATAAACACCGGGCCCTGGCAACAAGCTTATCAGACATAACAGTTTCCAGCATCAGCTTGGGCCTTTTACCGGAGATTATGGAATATCTGTGATGATACGTGGCAGAAATAAGAAAAACAAAATGGGAACAAACAGGAACAGACACTTAAGAGTCATAAACTGTCAGATGCAGCCTGCCAAAGAGACAACATCAACCACTAAGTCATATAAACTGGCTTTATTAAACATTAGATCTCTGTCAGGAAATTCCCTTTTAATTAATGACTTCATTATTGACAATAATGTTGATGTTATGTTTTTAACACAAACATGGTTACATGGACTTAATGAAGCACATATTCTGTTAGAGTCGTCTCCTCCAAACTATAATTTTCTTTGCGAGAGCAAAGGAAAGGTGGAGGAGTGGCAACATCGTTTAATGATTCACTGAAGTGTAAAAAGGTGTTTTTTGGAAAATTTGACTCTTTTGAACATTTGGCTCTGCAGGTAAAGAGCCCGGTACGAACTATGTTTCTAAATGTTTATAGGCCTCCTAAGTCCACATCAAACTTTTTTAATGATCTTAGTGACCTCCTGCCTGTGTTATGTGTTGATTATGACTTTACCTTTCATGTTGACAACCCTGAAGACAGAAGTGCAAAAGAACTGTGTGACACACTTAGAAACTTTAGTTTAACTCAACATATTAAAACAACAAACGCACAAACAGGGACATATTTTAGACTTGATCATCACTAAAGGTCTGAAGATTTCTAAAGTCAGTGTTACTGATGTTGCCCTATCTGATCACTTTTCTGTTACCTTTGAGGGCATCATTTCCAGTGACTCATTTAGCCAAAGGGACATCATAAGAAAACGCACCTTTAAGGAAAATGCCACAGAAACTTTTATTCAAACTTACTCTGCTACTTAAACCTTGGGCTGCAACTCAGTAGAAGAGCTAGTAGATAACTTTCAGTCTAAAGTCTCAGACATCAATAGCTGCATTGCTCCAATTAAAGTGAAAGTCTTTTCCGGAAAGAAAAAATCCCCTTGGAGAAGTGCTCCAGCAGTTAGAAGTGAAAAAAGGGAGTGTCGAAAAGCTGAACGCAGGTGGAGAAAGACGGAACTCCTGGTTCACTATGACATCTATAAAGAGAGACTTTACAGGTATAGCTTACAACTGAAAAATGCAAGAGAATCATTACCAAGAACATTAATAATACTCGTGCGTTATTTGCCACAGTCGACACGCTAACAAATCCTCCTGTGTCTGTGGCTCCTGAACTCCACTCCACCAGGGCCTGCAATCAATTTGCTAATTTCTTTACTGAGAAAATCCTAAAGATCAGAGTATCAGTTTATACATCCATATCAAGTTCAGTACCAAAGTTGTCTCCAACTGGAATTGATCTTGACCAAATGTCCCAATTCAGCCAAATAAACTATAAAAGCTTAGAGGAAATCATTCAGCAGCTAAGTTCCTTCTCCTGCTGCCTTGATGTTCTACCCACAGCTTTCTTTAAAAAAGTTTTGCCTGTCATAGCATCTGATTTGACTCAGATAATAAACACGTCCCTTCTGTCAGGTGTTTTCCCGCAGTCCCTAAAAACAGCAAATATCAAACCACTGCTGAAAAAGAACAGTTTAGACAAACTACCACTCCAGAACTACAGGCCCATATCAAACCTCCCCTTTATCAGTAAGATTATTGAAAAAGCAGTGTTTCAACAGTTGAACACTTTCTTAGATATGACCAGCCGCTTTGACGTGTTCCAGTCAGGTTTCTGTGCTCACCACAGTACAGAGACTGCCCTTATCAAGGTGTTTAATAACTGCGGAAAAACCACAGTGCTGGTACTATTGGACCTCAGTGCAGCATTCGATACTGTCGATCACTCCATCCTGTTAGAACGCCTGGAAAACTGGGTCGGCCTCTCTGGTACAGCTCTCAACTGGTTTAAATCCTACTTAAAGCACAGGGACTTTTTGTGTCAGTAGGCAACTTTACATCAGAGATAACAAAAATCACATGTGGGGTTCCCCAAGGGTCCATCCTGGGTCCCCTCCTATTCAATATCTACATGCTCCCTCTGGCTCAGTTAATAAAAAACAACAACATCAGCTACCACAACTATGCAGACGACACACAGCTTTACATCACCATGTCGCCAGGTGATTATGAACCAATTCAAGCACTGAGGAAATGCTTAGAAGAAATCAATGCATGGATGTGCCATGATTTTCTTCAACTGAATAAAAACAAAACTGAAGTAATAATCTTTGGACCAATAGAGGAGAGATCTAAAGTTAGCACACAGCTTCAGTCGCTTCAGCTAGTAACCACTGATCAGGCCCGAAGTCTAGGTGTAGTGCTGGATTCAGACTTGAACCTCCAAAAGCATTTAAAGACAATTACAAGGTCGGCTTTCTATCACCTGAAGAACATTTCCAGGATTAAAGGACTAATGTCTCAGCATGATCTGGAAAAACTAATCCATGCGTTTATTTTTAGTCGAATTGATTACTGCAACGGTGTTTTCACAGGTCTGCCTAAAAAGTGGATCAGACAGCTGCAGCTGATCCAGAACACTGCTGCCTGTGTCCTCACTAAGACTAAGAAAGTAGAGCACATCACCTCAGTTCTAAAGTCCTTACACTGGCTCCCTGTATCTCAGAGAATAGACTTTAAAATGCTTCTGTTAGTCTATAAATCTCTGAATGGCTTAGCACCTAAATACATCACAGACTTGCTATCAGTGTATCAACCCTCCAGACCACTCAGGTCATCTGGCTCCAGCCTGCTCTGCATACCTAGAACTAAAACTAAACATGGAGAAGCAGCATTTAGTTCCTATGCTCCACTTATCTGGAACAAACTTCCAGAAAACTGTAAAAGTGCGGAAAGCCTGAGTTCTTTTAAATCAAGACTAAAAACACATTTGTTTAGGATTGCCTTCCACTGTTCTAGTTAAACAGTTCAACTAAAACATATTTTCTTTAGTCCAACTGTTTTTAATATTATTTTTTGTTTCTGCATTTTTTATTTTATGTCGTTTTTTTTATTTTTTTTCCTACTTGCTTTGATTCTGTTTTATTTTCCTGTATTTTAATCATGTAAAGCCCTTTGCATTGTCTTTGTACTGAATTGTGCTATACAAATAAATTTTCCTTGCCTTGCCTATTAATTTTCTGGCATAATTCTAAGTATACTAACATATATTTATCTTCATAGTTGCCCAGGAAAGGCATCAACACCTGCCTTTCAGTAAACAAATGAATTGCCAAGCAACACAGCTAAATAAACTTTTCAAAAATGCGTTGCGTCATTCTAAATATTCTTTTTTTTTTTCATGATTATCCGGTTTGTGGTGTTCAGAAGGTTTCAGTTACAGTCTCTTTTAGTAATATTTTATAGAGAAGCAGTTCTTAAAAGGGGATTTCACAATGAGGCCTTATGTTACATTGGTTTCACAAAGATAATCTGCAAGACTGATTGGTTTTTCTACAGATGCTTTGATGAACGTGATTAGATTCTATAGATCCGAACAGAAAACATCCGTTTTACTTATAAAGGACTTAAGTTAGTAACCATAGAGACAAAGAAGGCTGAACTTCTGTTGTGTGGGAGTAAGCAGGAGAAGCCCCAGTCACGGTGGTGGAGGAGGAGCTCAGACAGATGTGAATAACGGTGCAGACATTCAGCTCCTTATTTGGTTTTCTGGGCGGGGAGGTGCTCTTTGGGGCAACTGGTAGTTTCAGCCAGAGGGCTGAGGAGCTACAATCTGCATCTCTCTACCTCTGCAGACTCTGGAGAACAGAGATCAGCATCAGAAAAAGAGGGAGAAAGGTAAGAAAAGTCTAGATTAAGAGGAAAATGCAGGCATTCATGTATAAACTGATAGTAAAACCACAGAAAGGATAGAATATGCCAGTTACAGTTTATTTTGAAAGGATTTATAACAATGGAAATATGTTATGCATGTTTGAGAAAATAGTAGTTACAGGTTTGCAACAGGTTTGGATTTAAAAAGAGTTGAAAACAGAGAATAGTTTGCCTCATTTTTACATTTTGAGAATACTTCATTGCTCTAAGAGCTTTAACTTCACCTATATTTGTTACGGATAACTGTCCCTTTAATGAGGAAGAATGTTGCAGAGAAGGATGTTTGAGCGTGCAGCATGGGAGAAGGGTGTGGCAGCCTTTAAGGCACCAAAGGGTTGATTTTTAGCTGAACATATGCGGTCTGAGCAATAGAAGGATGGGCTGTAAACTAAATCATTTGGTCTTACAGCTGGGAAAGAAAACACAGCAAAAATAGAACTGCTCTGGATGATGGAAATTCAATAAATAAAGCTCCTTTTTTGACCACTTTGATTTTTACTTTAATACTTAATGCACTGATGTAGACTGATATATTTTAGCTCACCCAGTAGTTTGGTTTATTAGAAACTCTTTTTGTGTCTCGTCAAACTTTTTTATGTTTTTCGTATCTATGACTCTTATGGTTCTTTACATTATTGCAACTTTAAGTAGATTTCCTTCCATTTTTCTAAAGGGATTTTTGCTTTACATTTAGTCAGTTCTAAAAATCATTCATGAAGTCTAAATTTCAATGTTGTATTAACTCCAACTATCTATATTCCTTTAAAAGACTCAGAGATGTTGTAACAACCAGGAAGGTCTGCTATAGAAAAAAAATCAAAAACACTTCAAAATGTTGTTTATTTTCTACTTCAATACATTTACAGGCACTTTATAACAACTTTACCAGGGATTAAAAATGTATACGCATCAGGAAATTTAGATTTTCTTAACAAATAAATTAAAACAATTTGCTTGAAATTCCAACTTACGAAAAAAATATCTGCTTCTTATTAAACTAAGATATGCAAAAGGGTTATTTATGGGGAAATAGAATTATTTCATGGAGAGTACAAACATTCAATATTATTTGCAAAAAATCAATGCTTATACAAAATATTCGACTTCAGAATAAATATATATATATATATATATATATATTTATATACACCATATAATTATGTGGTTCTTTCTTTAATTGGTACTTTAAAAGGAAAAACAAGGGGCTTCAACCTCTCATTGTAAAGAAGGAAAAAATATTCTAAATTTAGACAGATGGGCTTTTTTATTTTTTACTGTTTGCTTTTTTAAGTAGGCAGCTGTCGCAATTTACAGTGGAGCATACCAAACCTGGGGGGTCCAAGCTCAGGAAAGCTTCATTTAGCTATACATAGGGCAGGAACTTTCTTGTTCCTTTCAGAATCAGAATCAGACATACTTTAATAATCCCAGAGGGTAATTACTTTTGTTACACGCCCCAGATATACACACATTTTTATTTATATACAATATACATATGTATAACTTTAGATCCATTTCAGACTAACAGATAAAATATTATTCTAAGGCTCATTTCTGTTTGTGGGATTTATGGTTTGACACGAGCTCCATATGTTGACCACATTTTCGGACTTAAACACAGCAGCTTTGAATGCCTTGAACATGTAGTCTGGTGTTTTTGTAGAATAAAATCAGTAAACAGTTTTTCAGTGTGTTGGTTTGGTTGTTGCTCTAACGCTGCGTGCTCAGGAGACAGGGCGTGGCAGGCTGCACACCACCTTAAATGTCAGTGAATGAACTCTATTGCTGCCTGAAACAGATCCACATTATGGAGAAACTCTCACTTCCTCTTTTTTTTACATATTCTGTGACTCTGGCTGTGTTTTCTTATCCATAAATTGGTTCAGGCTCTCCTCTTTGCTTTTTCATGTGCATTTTTTCAGTTTTACGCTAATAATCCAACTTTCTGTCCCATGACAGCCTCAGCCCCTGTTTTTTTTTTTTTTTTTGGATGATTCCATTTTGTTCTTTTTAACTCTCAAACCTTTGCATACCGGCTCTGACTCACAGTCACTGCAATGATTTGCCAATAGAGCTGGTCTTGTGTTTCGATCCACCCAGCGTTTGCTCTAACTGGATTAGGGGTCAAATTGAATAAGTGATGTTGTGTCATGACAATGAACCAAACAAGCACGCCTGACCTCTCTGGCTTGGAAAAAGGCTTGTTTCCTGAAACTTCCTTCTCGGCCTCTGCTCTGTCTGCTGTCACGTCCTGTTTAAAAGCATCTACTTATTTTCAGCACCGGGGAGGTGCTCTTGTTGCTGTCACGTTTTCCATGCTGTGCTGCAAAAAAACGATGCTTTTTCCACACTTAATTTTCTCCAATATGTCATTTTCCTATCATTTTTTTTTTTCTGACCTGATTCTGTAGGCGGGAAAGCATTGGTTGTGATGGCAGGAATGGGGGTGTGTTTTTCCAAATTGAACCCTTGTATATGTTTCGAATGGTTTACATGAGCTGGTAGCCACAGCTATAAAGCTGAAGGGGAGTTTAGAACACAGAGAGGAGGGGAAGAAAGTGGAGCCCTGATGGAAACCATGAGGGAGCAGCTACTAAATAACAGGGAAGGAGCACACAATGTGGAGGGGAAAGCTTGGCAGATATGACAAAGTGCCCAGTTGTTCAGACAGCAGCAACATCTGGATCACATCAGTAAGTTGGAAAATCTTACAAGAAATCCTGGAGGAGGTGCAAAGAGCAAGGAGGAGTGGTGAAAGGAACTAGGACCACCGGTGACTCACTCTGCAGATATTTCATCCATCACTGTGTTTACACTATGAGTCTTTCTGTGGCCGAGGGACAGGGCTTTCCCCATCTCCCTCACTCCTCAACATTCTCTCACACCTCCCTGGTTACCTTACCAGAGTTTTAGAAGATCCAGCTTTGCATTCTTTGCCCTTTTTTTGTAGTTTTCTTTATTTAACAGCAGTTCTGCTTTCTAAATGTGCAGCCGTAAATCCTCCATAGGTGTTTATTAGTCCCTAACATAAACAGAGCTCATCTCCTTGTTTATAAATGTCACTCTGTATAGACTGGGAACTAGGAATGTGCCGCCAGTGGAGCCAAATGGGCCTTGGGTGTCACTAAGGGGGGGGTGGGAGCGAGCGTAGCCAGTACAGCATATCAGACTGCTGTTGAACTGTAAAAATTTCCATTAATTTAAAAAAAAACTCAGTTCGCTAAGGTTAGCCACTAGGTTATCTGGGAGGAGTGGCCTGGTGGTCAGAGAACTGGGTGTTTGTGCCAGGTCCCTAAACAGGACCCTTGACTCCAGATTTTGTTAGTTACCGTGGCAACAAACTGCTCCCTAAGGGATGAGTTTAAAGTTTATATTGAGTTTGAATTCCCCTTCTTTGTTTTCATTGAATTTTAAAGTTGCCAGCAGCTTCATTTTTCTGTGTACCCTCTTTTAGCTGAAAATAAATCAATATTAGAGGACTAAACAACAAATCAGAACTGTTTTATTCCTTGTTAATACGGCTAACCAATCGCAGGAGAACAATTCAAAGCATAGATGTCTCAAATCCTAATAAAAAGAATGAAAATAAGCTGAGACTTTTTTTGTCACCTTGTTAGATAGCAGAGCTCAGTCTTAGAGCGCAGCACTGTCCTATAAGACTGAAAATAATTGTTTTCTACTTTCGGCTACTTTAGATCGCCAATTAAATGTAATATAACAGTAAATATAGTAGGTATTAATATGCTGAGACTCCAAAAGAGATGTAATCCTTAAAATACAGGTGCATTACAGTTTGTCCGAGTGGTGTTGCCATATATCATAAAACATCATAACAAGGGGCCAGGCCCCCGAGCAGATCTGGTACCTACACTGGTACCTACAGCGGTTATAGACAGAATATATCAGGGGGGTAAGGATGGGCAAGTGTTTTTTCTTTTTATGGGGCACAGATAAAAAGTCAAGTTCTCAGACTCCTTAACTAGCAGATGAAAACTGAGACCCTTATTAAAAGCACTTATTCAAAAATTCTATTCAATTCAAAACTACTTTATCACTCCCAAAGTGAGATGAAATGTTGCAGGAACTCATGGTCAGTGTTTCAGTGAGATTGTAGGTAGTGATAAGAGTGAGCAGGAAGGATCTTTATTTATTTTTGTCTTTATTTGCTTTGATCATGCTTTTATTTTTCTTAGATTTTTACGTATCATCTAATTAATATAAAACACTTTGAATTGTCTTTGTACTGAATTGTGCTATATGAATAAACCAGCCTTGTCTTCTGTAGAGGTCTGTCTTGCACCAGCTCTGGAGAAGCCTCTGACTGAAGACACTCTGTTGGTGTTTAACAGTCTGAGGAAGAGGATGCTCATGGTTGTCCATAATCCTATTAACTTTATGAAAAGCTCTTTTTTGTGTGAATTCATCTTCAGATGTTCTAGAGCAGTTCCTGAAACAGAGCCGATCTTCTTCATTAGCTGTTAAAGTAAATTCTAAAGGCAAAATATTAAATCGGTCCTATAGGGATGAATCAGTTAAGGTCTCTTCTTTTGGCTTATATCATCCTAAGTATTAAACTGCAAAAGCTGATCTAAATAAGTGAAGATTTCCTCGAATAATTTGCTCTTAATTTTAGCTGGTAAAAAAGATGATCAGCAAAATTAAAGAATAATTCTGCTTTTATAGTAAGATTATTAGATATAACACTGGAAATTTTCTATTTTAAACGTATTATTATTATTATTAGGTTAGAAAATTGTCTTACCTAATTGCATATCTGCTAAAATCAAGGGAAAATTGCACTTAATTAAAGAAAATCAACTTACTTAGATCTAAATTAAATTTTGCAGCGTATGTTTTCAGTATAGGCGGCATAAATTGGGGGAGTGGTGGCCTAGTGGTTAGGGCATTGCGCTAGGAATCTAGAGGTTCTGAGCCTAAGCCCCACTCCCACAGACTGACACTCTGGGTCCCTGAGCAAAGACCCTTAACCCCACACTGCTCCCCGGGTGCCGCACAATGGCAGCCCACTGCTCCCCAAGGGGATGTGTTAAGATGCAGAGATTTAATTTTTTTGCTCTGTACTTGTGACAGTGTAATGAGAATAAAAGGTGGGAAAAAAATAAGTAACAGGGGTCACAACCTGTTCTAGAGGGGCATTGAGCCTGTCTAGAACCATCCATGTCAGAGTGGTTGAAGACGACTTGCTGGAGCTCAAATGTAGCCTTAGATTACCAAAAAAAAAGGATTTTTAGGTGACTTTTTACCTGGCTAAGCAATTTTTCCAGGCGAGCTGGAAGGACTATTTTAGAAAATGCTGATTCTCTGGGCATTTCCCTCACAATCAGCTCTCTGGTTTACAGAGAATGGTCTATAAATGAGGATCCAGTCAACGAGTAACGTTTATGGGCTCAGAATTGGCTTGATGATGTCATTGTTAGACAAAGATTTGTATATGGGTTTGAAATGAAAGGTAAAACTCAAATGAGGGTTCCTGGTATATCTGGAATACCATATACAGTGGGTGTGGTTAGCATAGAAAACTAAAGCTACAGTTTACATGAGAAAAGCATTTGCCATGTCAGACAAGTTTGGATTTTCCCATCAACACTGAGATGTTGGGGTCTGAATCTAATTTAGCACGCTTGATATATTCTTGGCATTTTTATGCATTTTAACCATTTTCTTAATGGATAGTGATCCATTAAGGATCACAGTGGATCTATCTGCTAAAGGCTACTTCTAACAGAATAACCAAATATTTACAGGAAACCTCTAACAATTTTAACTGACTTCTTAAAGGTGAAAATGAACCACTGGCTTTAAAGGTGACCAGTAAGTCTAATTGAGATCTGTCAGGATGTGGTAGAAAAGGAGATTCACACCTCATGGGTGTGTTGCTGAAAAATCTGCAAAAGCTGCCAAACATGATCGTATCAGAATGGAACAACTTACTGGATAAACGTCTTAATTTCAAGTACCTTTAAAATACCTTTAAAAAGTTATTTTCTGCAGGTCGCTCCTCAGTATGGAGCTATTCATACTTGTTATTCATTTAATTCAAAATTTAATAAATAGAAAATACTGCTATTGAACAACAGCACTTTCCTAAATTCTGAAAATTAAAAATAAAGTATTTAATCCACAAACATAACCTAAAGTAATTAACGACTACATCAATCTTTAAATGAAGTATAATTTTTCAAAGTGTGATAGTTAGATTTTGAAAGTTTTACTGTAAAAACAGCTCTCAGTAAATAAAAATGCTTCTCCCAATGTTTGATGGGTGGCATTTTTGTAACTTTGTGTTTGTTTTGGTGCCGTTTGGGTCCATATGAAAGCAAAGTCGGACTCTAAGAGACGTTTCTCTATGTCTGAAGGTGTTTTTGAATAAAAAAGGTAATCTCTGTCTCTACAGGTTATCCAACTGAGAGAAGAGCCACTTTACCCTGAGTTCAGCAAAGTCAAATTGGTTATAGCCACAGATCTTACATAACCTTTTAACAAAACACAATGTAATATTTTTGTTAAATATCTGCTATACCTTTTAAAATGAATAAGGAGAAACCGAAAATGTTCCATAAAGGTGAAGCATGGATTTTCTTCTATATGATATCTTTTATTTAAAAAGTTGACAAGAAGGAAAATATCTGTGAAAAAACTCTAATTCTTTTAATATCATTTTCTTATGAAAATTCAATTAAATTATATATCATACACCCCAGTTAGGCTACCAACAGTGGTATTTTTTATTATACTGTTTAAATTGGTTCTTTATGTCATCCTAAGCCCCTAAAGAGCCACTTTAGACTGCTGTAGAGCCACAGACTGTGTCCATATGTCCACCCTAACCACTATAAATAGCACTATATAGCAGTTACGCTATTTTAGATGAGTGTCTGAACGTCTAGTGGATGGAAAAGTAGTGGACTCAAAAAAATCCCACAATGCACCTTGAAAAGTAGTGATCATACATGGTCAATAAGTGAACAGATGTATTCCCGAAGTGCTTTGTCAGGAAAGCTCTCACATCATGGGATTTGTTGTGGCGACAAAAAATAACAAAGATGACTCTGGCACTGTGTGGGGAGGCGGAGTCACGTGACCAGCGTGGAGCGAAAAGGAGTGATCATCAATCCCAACAGTCTGTGTACTGATTTCACTTCACTATAAAGTCCATTAAATAGTCGCCACTCTGTAGTGGCGACTATTTAATGTGATTAAGGGATTAAGAGTGATTGAGGGATTTAGGGATTAGGGCAGACATTCAGACACACCCACAGGTTGCAGACCCCAGCCCCATAACCTATTAAATCTATTAAAAAGTCTTTTCCCAACCTATAGAGGATTGGTTAACCTCTTCAGATATGTGTGAGATGTCATTCCAACTATGTTTTTGTTTAATTATTAAGCAAAACTACTACTGTAAGTCTGCCATTCTGAAGCAGCATTTGTTGTAAGGATTAGTTGATACTTGTTGAGGACCCAAATGCAGAGCTGAAGAGGTAGAGATTATTTCTTTCCAAATTTAATAAATAAGTAAAGATACAGAAGCTACAATCCAGAACAATAAACCAAAGGAATGACGAGAATCCAGCAAACATTGACTGCAGAGGAGGAGTATTTATGCCAAAGAGAACAAAGAATGGCGTAATTGACCAATTGGGAGCAGGAGCCGACAGAAGGAACTAGAAGGGAGCTAGGGGAAAGAATACTGGCACAAGGGGCAACAGAGAAACCATGAAATACAACAGGGCTTAAATATAACTAGAAAATAACACGGATGACACTAAATGGAAAAGAAACCGATGACCTAAAAACCTTAGAATAACATAAATCAAAGTATAACTGAAAACTTAAAAAGAAAACTTAAACAGAAGCAAAAAGTCCAGAAAGGGCAGAATCATGACAAGTGTTTTACATAATTGTGTTGATTTTCTCTCAATCATTATCAATTCATTTAATTGTTGATTCTTTCAGCTTTTTAAAAAAATATTTCCCATAATACTTGGTGACGTCTTGGAGTTAATTATACAAGAAAATCCAATTTCCTAAGAAATCTACTGAAAATCTCCTGATTCTTGTGGCAGGAATTGTTTAATAGAAAGTAAGAGCAGTGTGAATTACTGCTGTAATAAAATAAGCTATTTTTTGACTTTTTTGCAGTTTTTGTGAGTTTTTTTTAAATAATAATCATTAATTTATTTTCACATCTGTTATGTGTTGAAGGGAAGAACATTTGGCTCACTGGAAACTGAGACAGTTTCCTCGCAATGGCAGCAACAATAAGAATCATAAAGAGGCTAAAGGTTTACAACTTGGATTTTTTTCTCATGAATCTTGGAAACGGTGAAAGGATATTATACAGAGCTTCTACCTTTTAAAGCTACACTTAAATAGCTGCTTGATGAATATTTCTGGGACCTTATCTGTTGTTTTACAATCCAGTTTGGAATCCAGACCCCAGTTTCTATGACCTTTGAACTAAAACCATGGCTTCAGCACATTATTTTATTAGACAATTACCCCAAAGGAGTTTTGAACTATTCATGCAGTTTTTATTGGCGCTGAGGTTCAGATTTCAGAGTGCTCTGGTTCCTTAAGAACAGGAGGGGGAAACACGACAAAGGCTGTTCACTTAGGCTGTTGGTGAAAGTTATGGCACAATTTCCATTACAGAGGGCATGAGCATGGAGGCTGGTCGTGAAGGAATGTCTCAGTGTATTTTCCAGGAATGCCTTTAAGGTTGCAGTTCATTGAGCACCTAAAGGTAGAAGTTTTCTGCGGCTGATTTAACCAGACGTAATTGTGCTGTGACCAGTGCAATCACAGTGCAGCCTTTATTTGGGGTTTTGAACTGAGGTTTTGTGCCTGACTTGCCATGTCTGCTGTACATGAAAACAACAAGAACCTTGTGTGTTTTGGACAAGTGTGTATAGGGGAGATGGAGAGAGCTATTACCTTTGGTCTCACATGGTTTAATCATGTGCTTTGGGAAGTCATTGCAGTTTATCAGACATCTAAAATACATTTTTCTGTCTTTTAATCCTACAGCTTACCCTGTTCAAGGCTGCTGGTGAAATTCTAAGAGAGTCGCTCCGAGAAGAAAGAACATTTACCAAGTTCCAGCAGATTTCATCATGCCTGTTGTCCTGAAGACCAGCCCTCTGCTTTGGACACGGTTGGCTGCCCTGGCCTTCTCATGCGTGGCCTTCTCTATAGCCGTGCATGGGGGAAATCTCCAGCATGGCACTGGGGATTTTTGCATCTTCTGCTGGGCGTTTAGCTTCGCCGGGACTCTTCTTGTCATCCTGGTGGAGCTCTTTGGCCTGCAGACCAGAGCTCCTGTTTCCTGGAAGAACTTCCCCATCACCTTTGCGTGTTATGCTTCCCTGCTCTGCCTGTCGGCCTCCATCATCTTTCCTCTTTATTTCCTGAAGGGGTCCAGAGAAGGGAAAGAGGTCCGTGACTTCCGCATCGTGTCCACCGTTTTCTCCTGCCTAGCCACTATCGCCTACATGAGCGAGGTCAGCCTCACCAAGGCTCGTCCGGGTGAGGTTGCCGGATACATGGCTACCGGTCCTGGCTTGCTGAAAGTCTGTGAGACCTTTGTTGCCTGCATCATCTTTGTCTTCATCAGCGACCCAGTATTGTTTGAAGACCACGATGCTCTCAAGTACTGCATGTCTGTGTATTGCATCTGCTTCATCCTGTCTGCGGTCATCATCCTGCTCTGCATCGGAGAGTTCACCGGCTGCCTCCCCTTCCCATTTGCCCGTTTCCTGTCCGGGTACGCCCTGCTGGCTGTCGTCCTCTATCTGTCAGCAACCATCATCTGGCCTATCTTCAAATTTGACCCAAAACATGGCGGTCGGAAGGACAGGCCAAGCGGCTGTTCCACCTCCCCAGTGGGCTTGTGCAGCTGGGATAGGGCCATGGCAGTGGCCGTGCTAACCGGGGTCAACTTTATCCTCTACCTGGCTGATCTAATCTACTCCAGCCGCCTGGTGTTCGTAAGCGCCTGATTGTAGCAAAATGAAACAGAGCTTGCAGTGTGTTTTAAAGGAAATTGAATTTGGTCCCCAAATTCAGGGCTGTAAAACTGCTGTCAAACAAACTGCTGCAAGAAAGAGTTTGTGTCTTATTGCTATATTAGTTCTAATTCTAAAAAATAATGTAATTGATCCAAAATATCCTGAAGTGGTTAAACACAAATGTATGGCTTTAAAATGCCAGCTGATAAAAAAAAAAGTTCTAAAGGTAGGATTTATATCTTAAGCTCTTTTGATTCCAAGTCTATTTTTTAGCTTTTCCAGACCTGCAAAACTGAACTGAATTTACTGCAGTACTGAGGATTGAAGGTATGGCAAGATTTAAAGTCAGTTGTTTCATTTCAAACTGCAGATTTAATCCTTCAAAACAAAACTTCCTGTTCATTTTTTGCTTTTACCAACATAAAAAATGTATATATTTTTAAAATGACAGCAGGTTTTCTGAAATAGTTTAAGATAAAATAAAACTTGACTGATACACTTTGGTTTGATGAAGGATCGGAAAAAAAAAACATCTTGTTTGTTCCAAGGATAGTTTTAAACATAATGAAATGTATTAATTGATTATATACTATGAAAATCTAAAATCCTACTGTTAACATATACAAAAAAGTGAAAAAAGAAATGAAGATGGTTTGGATGTACCAATTTGGATATTACTTTAAAGTTTAAAAAAAGCAATGGTGGAGAAATATTAACTGAAAAGCTAAAACAGAGCAAGCAAGTACTAAAAAATTTAAATGTTTATCGCCAGCTTTTAAATCTCTGCAACACGATATACAATACACTGCCTCAAATACAGTTTTGTTATACATTTTGACATTTTACATAGATTTCTGATATTTTTTCAAAAGTATTTTATAACTCATTTAGTTTTTTTTTTTGGTTTTTTTGTATCTTGCTAAAAGTTTTTTATTGTTTGCCTAATCCAGCAATGTTGTTGTTCATTTTCATTCAATTGTTTTTTTTTTTTTCATATTTCATGATATCGTTCACCCTTTATCCATTGTATTGCTTGAATGAATGGAGTTGTGAAATAACACCAATATGTTCAAATCATGGTAGTCTGTGTTGACAGCTACAAAAAAGAAAGCAAAAATCAGGTTTCTATGTTTTAATAATGTATATCTGTCAGTTGATACGTAACTAGTTGTGTAAACTGTTATTATACAAGAGTTATCTATTCAAAATATCTGGAGTCACACCTGAATGTCACTTATGGTCTTTATCAGTACATTTTTTAAAGCATGCATTTTTCTGATGGTATGATTTCCATCTTTTTGAATTGTATCATAACCTTAAAAAAATGATATATGATGAATAAATATGAAACATGTTAACATACATCCTAGGCTGGCATTCTGTTCCTTATTTAACTGCATTGCAAGCTAGATTCAATAACAGAGAAACAGTCTGTAAAGAGAAAGTACATGTAGTGGGAGTGGAGAACTAGTGGTTAGGGCATAGAGCTTGCAATTCTGAGGTTGTGAATTTGAAACCCACTTCCACTCTGGGTCTCTGAGCAAAAGACCCTTAACCCCACACTGCACCCCGGGCGCCGCACAATGGCAGCCCGCTGCTCCCCAAGGGGATGGTTTAAATGCAGAGGTCAATTTCTCCAATATGACCTCAATTAAGTTCACTTCAATTAATAAAGACACAGCACCAGTACTTTCCTAATGCTCTCCTTACAGATTTATTGAAAACATGGTCTAACAGATAACTAGTGATGCCTGATATTATCAGTATGCTATATTTATTGACCTTTAAAACCAAGTACATGACATTGGCCATTTCATCAATAAAATTCACAAATTTATGAGGCACTGATTTCCTGACAAATATAAGATTTGCCAGCCCATAGATGGGGGATGTGGAGCCATCAAGTCATCTCAATATGTATTTGTTCTACTCAGCCACTGAACCAGGTGAGTCCAATCTGCAGAGTGAACTAACCTGTGCAGATTGGACTCACCTGGTTCAGTGGCTGGGTAGAATAAATACATGACATAGAGATGACTTGACCACTTGTGACCCCCCACCTCTGCATCAGCCTTTTCACATGCACCAAACGGATTAATGAGTTTGTAACAGAGGAGATGCTGAATTAAAAATGTAGGCGTTGTTGACGTTTTTCAAAGTTTCAGAAACGGATAACCTAACTGCTATTTGCAATGACTGCACAGAGCAGGAGGGAGAAAACTACATATTGTCTGTGCAAAAATATCTGCATTAGTCGTTGGTCCAGGTAAGTAGAAAAATGTCGACATATCGGATATCGGCGAAAACACAATTGATGATTAGGCCTACTAGCTAACCGATACCATGAATTTTTTTTTTATATATCTGGTTTATTTGATTTGTTGTTTCTGGACATATGTCTTAAAATACTTTAATAAAGGTTATTAAAAACTGGACTTGTTGGGGATTTTATGTGGTTTCATATTTCAGTAATTTAGGTTTTAAAATAGACTCATTAGGTTTGTTTCATTTAAGCTAATTTTCATTATAGCCACTTGGTATATATATATATATATATATATATATATATATATATATATATATATATATATATATATATATATATATATATATATATATATATATAAAAAATCAAAATAATTTGTTTTATCCAGACAGTTAATTGCTTTGTGATTAGACTCGGTGCTGCACCAAATAGTTATTCGTCACATACCAAAAGAAATAGTTTTTCAAGATGACGGATGTTAAATTTCACAATGTTACCATTAGATATACAACTAATAAATTAATTATAAGGAAGTTACCATGCAGATTTGTAGAAAAAAGTTCTTATAATAGGGTAGTGCAGTTACCAGTATAAAGTGTAAAGCATCTGTCCTTAAATTTTTTCCTACAGTACTTTTACTTTTGTACTTTAAATAGATTTTAAAAATAGTACTTTTACACTTTTACTTCAGTAAAAAGCTTAAGTTGAAACTCTAACTTCTACAACAGCGTTTTAAACGGTAGTATTTATACTTTTGCATGAGTTATAGACATTAATCCTTTTGACATCTCTGCACATTGTGTATTTTACTCAAATTTTAACATGTTCTCTGGTTTCCTAGGAAATGTAACTTTTAGCTATAAAAACTGCTTTAATTCGGGTCCCTTTCAATATGTCATAAAAAGAAACCCTTTTCCGCTACAGAAGGATCCACAGGATCTCCACAATATGAGGCCACAATAACTTTCTAGGTTGCCATCTCCCATAATATTTTGCATGAATTTGAAAGTTTTTCTGATATGAAAAAAATTGGAATATCAATGTAAATATATGACTGTCAGTACTATTTTAAGAAGTCAAAGGCTGAATAGGATATATTTTCACTAAATTTTCTGTTATATTTTAAAACACTAAATGTGAAAAAGTTCCAGTCATGAGATAATTATTAAATTATTTTTTCGACTGCATGTCTTCAAATGAAAATGTAAGGTCTGGTTTTCCGCTTTCAATATTCAGTTGGCTCTTGTGTCCAATTTGGATTGGATGCACGGACCCAAATGCTGCTGACAAGGACTTCACAAACATAATCAGGAAGGACTGGTCAGCCTACTAAAATTTAGTTGAATTAAATTTCTCGTCATCTGCTCACATAGTTATTCAAACTATAACTTTGTTTGAATGTAAAGGTCTGTTTGAGGAAAATAGTCTTTTTTGTCTCTGTTAGTCACTATACTTGTGCTTGTCTGTGGTTTATTTCTCAGTAATTAGAGAAATACATGTAATTATCAATTTTATCAGCAATCAGCTTCCTTCTTGCCATCGCATTTAGCTGAAGTGCAGTCCTGGAGTCGATTATGAATAAAAGTGAAGATCCCTGAGAAATGCACACAAATCTCCTGTTTGTTAATATGATAGAGATTCATTACTTAAAGGAAATTCTCTAGATTGGGCTTTATTGCCTTTTTTTCCTATTATTTTGTCAAACCTGTGTTGTTATTCCTATCCTTGATCAGCCCTTATGTCTTTCAGATGACATCTGGCTTACCAGAAGCTAAAACAGTTTCCTTGAATTGGCAGCAACAGTTCAGACCGTGGTGCTTTGCAGGATGCACCTCATCTGCATATATAACTTTTCACCACGCAAAGACTCAGAGGTTGAAATGCTGTCCCCTCTAACATTGCTGTTTTGAAACTTTGAAAATAACAATCATGATGTATTTCCATATGCACACAATATTGAAAAAACTTAAACATTGGGCTTATATGACAGTGGACTTTAGCACAGGAGAGGAGGAACATTAGCATATATGCAAACAGCTAACGTAAGCTTTTTGAATGTGGTGCATAGTATGGCATACTATGCACCACATTCAAAGAGCTTACAACATAAACAAAATAGAGCGCATGTGGATATTTTGTCATTTCTAATTATATCTAACTACAATGAAACCCAAAGAGTTTAGGTGTGTGCAGGGTTTGCTGAAAAGCCTTAACCAAGTGGATTTTAGTCTTAAGAAAGTCACATTTTCAAAGACAAGTGAAGTAACATTTCAAATGGAGGATGATGCTCTCTGCTCTCATTTTCAAAAATGGATAAATGGCAAAGGATTTTATTGGTCCAGTGAATTATTTAGGCTTGCCTTTCTGGTGTACAGAACTGCATAAAGGCCTCCAACTTAACTTTTACAAACACACAAACTTTTATCCAGTGATGGATGCACAAAAAAAGAAATTCTTAGTTTGGTCTACAAGATGGAAAAAATATATTCACTCAGTGTGCACATCGAGTTCCAGTGATTTACCAGCAAAAAATAAGCATGACTGGAATTTGTGTTTATAGGAATGTCCTTATCACTAATCGAGCTAAAGGCATGAGGAATGCGCACCAAACACATGAGAACACAAGCCAGCAATCCCCAAAGAGAAAACTTAGTGAATCTCTGAGTACCAAAGCTGTTTACCTCGGGTTTTGAAGAGGATATTTATAGTCTATTATTATCACCTGATCAGCTTTTCAGGGACGTTGCATCCAGGAAGGTTCTGACTTAGCTAAGTGAGATATTTATTCGAGTGAAAGGGCTGTTAAGTGTCAACTGGTTGGCAGGGACAAACTATGAGGTGGTGAATGCAGGGTACTGATTAGTATACAAATAGCTCTTCCCAGTGTGGGAAGCACAAGGAAATGCTTCCCACACTGTTGTCTTACTTCATTGTAGGAGATTACCTTACCATATGGTGACCAGATCTAGCTGGACCGGACCGGCACCAGCCCAGGATTGGTTCTGCTGCACTGTAGTTGTCCAAAATCCCGGTACAAATCAGCCAAAAATGGACCCAGCAGACCTGGACACAGTTTTGGGCACCAGAGAGAGACAGCTGAACATTCAGGAGGAGAAACTGGCATTACTGCAACGGCAGAATAAACAACTGGTTACACAACAGGGCAAGTTCATGATAATTTTTTTCTAAAAAACTCAACTTCCCAGTGGAACAAATCCAAAGATTTCAGTGCTCCTCTGGTCTGCCTATTAACCATACTCCTAGCCTCCCTCCACCACCCAACCAGATTAGTTTTCCCTCTCCAGGTTCAGCCCCCTCTATTGTCCCCTCTCTAGTCTCAGTCCCCTCTAATGTCCACTCTATTTTCTCTGCCCCCTCTAATTATCCCTCTCTAGTCTCGGCCCCCTCTAGTAATTATTCTCTAGTCTCATCCCCTCTAGTTATCCCTATCTAGTCTCGGTCTCCTCTAGTGTCCGCTCTCTGGTCTCGGCCCCCTCTAGTAATTATTCTCTAGTCTCATCCCCTCTAGTTATCCCTATCTAGTCTCGGTCTCCTCTAGTAATTATTCTCTAGTCTCATCCCCTCTAGTTATCCCTCTCTAGTCTCGGCCCCCTCTAGTAATTATTCTCTAGTCTCATCCCCTCTAGTTATCCCTATCTAGTCTCGGTCTCCTCTAGTGTCCGCTATCTAGTCTCGGCCCCCTCTAGTAATTATTCTCTAGTCTCATCCCCTCTAGTTATCCCTATCTAGTCTTGGTCTCCTCTAGTGTCCGCTCTCTGGTCTCGGCCCCCTCTAGTGTCCGCTCTCTAGTCTTGGCCCCCTCTAGTTATCCCTCTCTAGTCTTGGCCCCCTCTAGTTATCCCTCTCTAGTCTCTGCCCCCTCTAGTGTCCGCTATCTAGTCTCGGTCCCTTCTAGTTATCCCTCTCTAGCCTCGGCCCCCTCTAGTTATCCCTCTCTAGTCTTGGCCCCCTCTCATGTCGCTCTCTAGTCTCGGACCCATCTAGTGTCCGCTCTCTAGTCTCTGCCCCCTCTAGTGTCGCTCTCTAGTCTCGGTCCCTTCTAGTTATCCCTCTTCAGTCTCGGTCCCTTCTAGTTATCCCTCTCTAGTCTTGGACCGCTCTAGTGTCCGCTCTCTAGTCTCAGCCCCTTCTAGTTATCCCTCTTTAGTCTTGGCCCCCTCTAGTTATCCCCCTCCAGTCTCTGCCCCCTCCAGTGTCCGCTCTCTAGTCTCGGCCCCTTCTAGTTATCCCTCTTTAGTCTTGGCCCCCTCTAGTTATCCCCCTCCAGTCTCTGCCCCCTCCAGTGTCCGCTCTCTAGTCTCGCCCCCTTCTAGTGATCCCCCTCTAGTCTCTGCCCCCTCCAGTGTCCGCTCTCTAGTCTCAGCCCCTTCTAGTTATCCCTCTTTAGTCTTGGCCCCCTCTAGTTATCCCCCTCCAGTCTCTGCCCCCTCCAGTGTCCGCTCTCTAGTCTCGCCCCCTTCTAGTTATCCCCCTCCAGTCTCTGCCCCCTCCAGTGTCCGCTCTCTAGTCTCGGCCCCTTCTAGTTATCCCTCTCTAGTCTCAGCCCCCTCTAGTTATCCCTCTCTAGTCTCAGCCCCCTCTAGTGTCTACTCTCTACGCTCAGGTCTGTCTAGTGTCCCCTCTCTAGCCTCGGGTCCCTCTGGTGTCCCCTCTTTAGTGCCCTCTGGTGTCCCCTCTCCAGCCTTGGAGCCCTCTGGTGTCCCCTCTCCATGGTCAGGTCTCCTTGATGTTCCTCCTCAGAGACCCCTGGAGCCTGCCCTGGCCTGTCCAGAGCCCCCTGAGCCCCCTCTGACCCATCCAGAGACCCCTGAGCCTGCTCTGGCCCATCCAGAGACCCCTGAGCCCGCTCTGTGCCATCCAGACAGCCCTGATGAACTAGTCCCTGACTTTGTGCTCAGTGAGAATTTGTCCTTAAGGCCCCTCGGTGTGAGCTTTTCGCCCCCAAATCCTGTCAGTGGGCGCTCCTCGCCCCCTAGGTCCCTCAGCAGGTGCTTTTCGCTGCTTTGTCTTGGGTCCCAAGCTGTGCGCCGCAGACTTTGCTTGTCCTCCAGCCTCACGGCTGGCCACCAGAGACTTTGCTTGTCCTCCCACACCTTTGGTAGGTTGTTTTGTGTTTGGACTCTGTTTTTGGTGTTTGTTTCTTGCCCTCCTTCCTGGTTATACCTCTGCCCACCCTGGGTGGGTTGTTTTTTGTTTTGGACTTTGTTTTTGTTTTGTGCCCTCCTTCCTGGTCCCGCCTCCACCCACCCTGAGTGGGTCGTTTTGTTTTGGGACTTTTTAGGCCGTCTGGAATCCGCCCTTAAGTGGGGGGTACTGTCATGGTTTTGTTCAAGTTTTATCTCTGAGTTTTCATTGGTCTTATCTCCATTCTTGTGTCCTAGCTATTTTTGATTGTATTTGAGTTCTTAGATATTTCTTTTTTGCCCTCTTGTGTCAGTCTTCTTTTCCCTAGCTCCCTTCTTTCCTCTATTCACACCTGCTTCCAATCTGCTAATTAGCCTGGTCTTTGTTTCTGTCTCCCACTTATTCTGCTCTTGTTAAGTTACTCTTTGCTGGTTTGTCGTCATTACTTTGTCCTCTTCTTGCATTTTTGGATTTTTGTGGATTCATGTTTTTGGATTTTTGCTTCTGTTGAACTTTTGTTATTAAACCTTTAAGTAACCATCTCAAGCTTTTGGGTCTGCATTTGGGTCCTATCAAACCTCCACCCCTCACTGTAACAAGAGTGTGGCCTCGGTCATCTGCTGAGGCCGGCTGGGGTTCAATGACACAGAGGCAGAGATACAAAAGGCAACTGTAAAAGGCGGCCCCGTCCAGGAAACATACAGCCAGGCAGACAAGATCCGAGCCAGCTCCCATATCAGAGGATGAATAGAGCACATCCAGCCAGTCACAGTCAGGAAAACAGGACTACACTGAAAAACAGGCTGATCTCCAACGTCTATAAACAAAGTTGTTAATGGCAGCCGCACAGCTGATATTTCTCTCCAGGATGGTGTCACAGCCAAACAGGAACAGAGGAAGTGAAGCTACTATGAGAAAAAGCAGAGAGAGCATTAAGTAAATATACTCTAAATATAAAACAATGACATATATATATATATATATACATATATATATATATATATATATATATATATATATATATATATATATATATATATATATATATATATATATATATATATATATATATATATAAATAATAATAATGAAATTATCAAAAAAATGGAAAGAGCATAGGACTGAAAACTTACCTGCTAAAAGGGTGAAACTACAAAACCTAACAATGCATATGCATGCATTACATTATACACATAAGGCTGAAACAAACAAATATAAACTCTGACTTACATTAAACAAAGCAGAGTGGAGCACAGAGGTTACTAATGAGCAAAAAAGGGAAGAACTAAAGAATTCCCGAATTTCAAATCTAAACATAACGGGAAGTATCACAGAAGAGAACAATGCCGGTAATATAAAAGGTAACCAATAGGTGGCAGTATTGCCATATAGAAGAGTTTCATATTTCTCATGGTGGATCTGTCAAGGTTTATGGTTTAGGCTCAAAGGTAAACAAAACCCTGGAGTAGCATGATGATTTGGAGGATTTCAATGAGGACCAAGAGGCAATAACTCTCAACAAGCCAAGAAGAAGAAAGGACATGGTGTGGGGGAAAAAAAGAACTTGCATAATGGCACAAGAGATCAGGATAAAGAGTGTAGGATGAGACCAGAACCAGGGAGTTATAAAGCTGTTAAAACAGGAACGCTAATGACACTTTCAGCTAACTTTAATGAGCACATGGAAATAAACAGGAGGGCAAGGCTTAAAGAATGTAGCACTAGGAAAATGGTCAAAATAGGAACATAAAATAAAAACGAGAACCCAAACATGCCTAGATCACAATAGAATCTTTGAAAATGTGCAAAATATAAAGTAGTATGAAAAGTATGAGAGCTCTGTGTTTACACCTTGAAGCTTTCTCTCTCTTGTTCTTTTTCCTGAAAAGAGATCACTCGGGACCAACTCTTTAAATATTACTTGTTGTTGTATCTGCGATTCATAGAAAACAATAAGAACCTTGTGTATCTGGTAAAAATGCTGTGTGGGAGGATTGGGCAGAACTGCGAGCTCTTGGTCTCACATTGATTTATCTTGTGCTTCATGAAGTCATTACAGTTTAGCAGACGTCTAAAACCTTTCGTTTAAAGCTGGTGGAAAACATCTGAGAAGACAAGTAGAAAAGGAAACAAAATTTGCTAACTTTGAACAAAATCTCATCATGCCTTTTGCGTTGAAGACCAGCCCTTTGCTTTGGACACGGTTGGCTGCCCTGGCCTTCACCTGCATAGCTTTCTCTATGGCTGCTCTTGGAGGCAGATTCATTGACCACACCGGAGCCTTTTGTATCTTCTGCTGGGCTTTTAGCTTTGGCGGGACTCTCCTAGTCATTCTAGTTGAGCTTTTCAACCCACTGACCAGAGCTCCTCTCTCCTGGAAGAACTTCCACATCACCTTTGCATGCTACTCTTTCCTCCTCTGCATGTCGGCCTCCTTCATCTTTCCTATTTACTTCCTTAAGGACTCCATTGTTGTTTTTGCTCCGAGCCAGCTCCGTGACCTTCGCATCGTGTCCAGCGTTTCCTCCTGTGTTGCCACTTTGGCCTACATGAATGAGGTCAGACTCACCAAGGCTTACCGAGGTGAGGTTTCTGGCTACATGACTACCTGTCCAGGCCTGCTGAAAGTCTTGGAGACCTTTGTGGCCTGCATCCTCTTTGTCTTCATCAATGACCCGGTCTCATATGACCAGCATCATTCAGTCAAGTACTGTATGTCTGTTTATTGCATCTGCTTCATCCTGTCTGCCTTCATCATTCTGCTCTGCATTGGCGAGTGCACTTACCTCCTCCCCTTCCCATTCCCTCGTTTCCTGTTCACCCATGCTTTGTTGGCTGTCTTCCTCTATCTGTCAGCGGCGATGATCTGGGTGATCTTCAACTTTGTCCCCAGGTACGGCGGTCACAATGAGCGGCCGCACAACTGCTGGTCCTCTGAGGGCTTGTGCAGTTGGGATAAAGACATGTTGATAGCCGTGCTGACCGGCATTAACTTTATCCTCTACCTGATTGATCTCATCTACTCCATCCCTCTGGTCCTTGTCAGCACATGACTTTGGGAAAAGGAAGTTAGGCTGACAGTGTGTTTAAAGGGAAATTTAAGTTGTGAAATTTAAGAAGAAGTGACGTAAAATCACTTTTTAGTCAATAAACAGAAATCTAATGCTTAAAAAGTTTTTTAAAGCTTTTTATTCAGGTTTACATTTTGTTCTCCTGTTACATTTCTATAGTGACAAGCAATACTATCTTAATAAAAACAGAATAGAAATAGTTACTTGTCAAGGAGAATTCTGGCAGCTTCAGGATCCCTTTTAAAATCTTACCTGATGTTTGTCCTATTTTTTCATGTCTCCGGTTTCTTATCTTTAATTTTTTATTTTGTATTTCTTGAGGACGCTAAACCCAATTATTGAGCTGCTGTTGCATATTCATCAATTTCAGGCAATAAAAAGAGAAATTGTTACGCAATATCCGTTTAAAAAAGGCCTGGTGTTTATTGTTCGCTTCCTTCAACTTTTTCGAGACATTTTTTCTCAGTTTTAAGAAAACACATGTAAGAATGTTTTAACGACATGTTGTGATTGAAAGAAAAGTAGGTTGTTTAATTTAAAACGTTTTTTTCTGTGTCAGAAGGTTAATGTTACAAAAACCTATTAAGTGATAGAATTAAATATTTTTCATTAATGCTATCTATTAATGCTATCAATTAATAATTATTTATTAATTAATAGATAGCATTAAATAACTTTTTTTTAACTATATAACCTTATTTAGCAAAAAGCTTGTGTATAAATGTATCAGAAAAAGCAAAAACAATAGTGGTTTTCTGTAATTTCTTTAATCTGTACAACTTAAAACACGATGCAGTGCTTAATACAATTAGTCTTTTTTTATCAGTTGTTTTATTATCTTGTTTAATTTGTCATTGCTTGTCTAATGTGATTATTATTTTCATTATAGTGGTTTTGTCAAACTTTGTGCTTGTCAGATGTTAAATATCTAATTGCATAGCTGCTGATGGAGAATATTACAATTTTAAATGTCTGGAGTTATACTTTAATGTCATTTAAAGTCTTTATGTTTTCACTTTTCTAAAGCATCCATCTGTAGATTGTAGATTTCCAACAATAAAACATGTTTGAATTGTGAGGTGGCAAAAGATTTTTTTAAGCAAAGTCACTTAAATCAAAGGGAAATATGTTGACAAAAGTTAACATAACAGTTTTTGCTCCTGATTGATTGGTTGATTTTATGATGATATGCAATTACTAAGTTTAATTCTTTAAGTTTCATTGTTTATAATCATTGCTATTTCATAATAATTTATTAACATTGTCCACTGGCTTAATTACAGGTGACATTTTTAGTTTTTAGATTTTTTTTTTACAGAAAAATCTGTCTCCTATTGATCCCTTTTTAATTATATTGAAAGATGAGTTCTGACTTTCATTTATTCAGGCCTCAGAGCTGCAAGCGTTAAGGGAGAGGGGTTGTTTATACTATAAGGGAGTGTTTGAGATAAAAAATAATAGTTCTCATAACATGCCAGACTGTTTCTCGAAGTTTATTTCATAAAATTTTATGTTGGCTCCAACTGTCTTTAAACGTTTACAGTAATTGTATGTGGAGACCTTCACAGCCTTTCTGCAGGGTTTTAGTTAGGGAAACACAAAGTTGGTGTAACCAGAACAGGGCTAGACGTTATGCCATCTTGTTCTCTTTTTCTTTGCAAAGACAATAAAGTACCGACTGAGTGAATTCCCATCCATCCCCTTTATTGAACTGGACTTCATAGTTAAATACCTTTTTCCAACTAAAGTTGTAAGCTTCATTCAATAAAAAAAAAAACAGTATGAGGCTGAAAAGGAAACGTACAATTGATTAATAATAAAACAATAGTACATTTCTTATATTTGTTTGTGCTAAATACAAATTTATCATCTCCTATAATAATGTCAATTAACAGAGAATTAATTTCCTTCTTAATTTGACCCATTGGTTCTGGACTGCTGAGGGAAAATACTTTTATCAAACAGAACTTTTAAAAATTAAAAACATTCTTAAATCCAGAACTTCCAGTGCTCGTTGAATGTGTTAGACCTCCGTTTGGAAAAAAAAAAAAAAAATCATCATAAGAGATGTTACTTTTTTTTTGTATTTAAATGGGAAAACAGATCCAGGCCTTATATGGCAACATGAGGGTGATATTATTGTAACTTAGAGAAGTTTCTAAGTGTCTGCATTCATAAACTAAAAAGGAAAAGTCTGCCTTTATCCATTAAGAATGTAGCTCTTGAGTTACATGAAGCATGTTTGTGATTTGATAAGCCCTATCTGCTGAGTTTAAAATCAAGCCAAACCTAAGAACCATAAAAATCCATTGATTTTACTGGTAGCAATGACTAAAGTAATTTACATGAAAAATGAAAAGCAAAAAAAAAGCTAAAACCTGGGTCCAGGCACAAGTAGAGCAGGAGCTCATTTCACAAAACCTGAATTTATTAATCCCAGAAGGCTCATGGTGGTGTGAAGAGTGCATCCTGGCTTCATCCGTTCCACAAATGCTCCACAGGTGTGGCTACTTCAACCCAGCGGTAAGTTATCAAACTAAATGCTGGTCTGCAGTTTTCTTCAAGAGACCATGAGGTCGACCACAAATGTTGTTGATTCAGCATCGCCTAAAATACACATTTGCTGAAACACATTCGATTCTCTTAAATAAAAACATCTTAATTTAAAGAGTCACTTGCTTCATTTTTCTCAAATTAACAATTAACCAAAAACAAGAAACAGTATATGTCAATATGGCAACTTGTACAGATCTTAAAGTTTCTAGATTGATATATTTTTTTTCCATAATTTTGTGTCTCTCTCCTAAACAGGGATTTCAATCTTTGACTTTAAAGCAGGGGGCTCAGGACTGAACCCTGGGTACTTCATATAGTCATCAAGCCTTAAAACTTTTATCAAACATCAGATGTGTTTAATCACTTTTTGTTACACAATTCTATTTTTCCCAGAATTCACACTGGGAGAAAATGACCTTTAACTTAAACAGAGGAAGACCTATCTTAGAAAGAATCCAGAGAGGAAGTGGTTTGAAAGCAATAAGGTGTGTTCAGATAATGTATGTACTGTAGGCCTAACTATAGCTTACTCCTAGACAAGGCAAGTTTATTTATATAGCACACAAACAGTGCAAACACAATTTAAAATGCTTTATATGAATTAAACAATAGAATAAAAGAAAATCAAAAGCAGAATAAAAGCAAGTAGACTCAAACCGGTTACAGAAAGGGCCGTGTGGCTGTAGGTTTTCTTTCCAACCAAGCAATAGCACACCAGACTCCATTCATCTCATCAAATCATCATGTTCAGATTGGACTCAGTTGATGAGAGGACTGGAGTCTGGTGTGGTGTTGCTTGTTTGGAAAGAATACCTGCAGCCACACGGCCCTTTCTGGAGCCAGTTTGAGACCCCTGAGGTAAAAACATGATAACAGCAGCTAGTAAAACATATGAAACATTGAATCTTTGGTTTTCAATTAACAGAATCCCCTTCATGAGCTCCAGAGTGTGTGCATAAGTGTGCTGTTCAGCAAACCTATAACATTAAGGAAAGCTGTGTCAAAAGAACAAAAAAGTATTCCACATAATTGTGATGTTTATCCTAATGTTATTACGTTTAATATTGTAGAATCCTTCATTAATGTATTTAAATCTTTTCTGGAGGGGGAAGGTTATGAAGATGTGCCTATTTTCCTTTTAATGCCAGAAACCCGTTTCTGGTGGTGCAGCAAATAGTGACTTTTCAGCAACGTACCAAAGTGGAAAATCCAAGCCCAGATCAGATCATCCGTATAATGGTAAAGGCCTGGATCTGCTCTATGTCCAGCGGTCTGCACAGTACCAGATTTTATCCTGAGGAAAGCCATAAGGCTCATGTAATTATAAGAAAATTCAAACATGGAGATTTATCTGATCCCCTTAAAAGATAAGTAGTCTATTATAGGTCATTCTGTCAAACTTAGAACAACACCTGTCTTTAAAAGCACATTCAACCGTGACAATGTACAAACAGAAAATTATAAAGGTAATAATAGTTTAGAATACCATAATAATAATCACTGCTGATTGAGCAGATAAGGCGCCACAATCAAATAAGCCTGGGTGACAGCCTGTTTAGGAGCAGGCTGGTTGCACAGAATAAATCACCATGGTAACTTATATTTTACTGCTTTGTGAAATTGGGTTGGGGCTACGTTATTTACAGAAAATCCCAACTTTAATCCTGATTTTCCTCTCATGAAATAGGCCTCAAGACATGGAGCAGGGAAACAAAAAGCACCAGCAGCATGGCTCAAAGAGATAAGGAGAGAGTTGCAAACTGAACATTTGACCCGGAAACAAGTAGAAGACAGGAACCTATGTGGCAAGTTCTATTAGTGAACCACGTGAGAGTGTTTTAGAGAAGCAGATGGTTACAATCACATGGACTGTAGTGAGCCTGAAGGAGGAAGACTAATAGACATGAATGAAGTGGACAAAAACAAAGATCCAAAAAAACTTATGGAAAACTGAACATAATGTGTCATGTACTCTAGATTGGGGGAATGGTGGCCTAGTGGTTAGGGCATAGAGCTTGGAATCCTGAGGTTGTGAGTCTGAAACCCACTCCCAAAGACTGCCACTCTGGGTCTCTGAGTATGACCCTTAACCTTCGATTGTTCCCTGGGCGCCACACAATGGCAGCCCACTGCTCCCCATGGAGATGGCTTAGATGCAGACGTACATTTCTCCAATGTGAGCTCAATAAAGTTCAATTGTTTTTAATTTTTTTTATTACGCTAAAAGGTCAAGAGTGAACTTGTAAGATAAATAAAGAAAATATATATTTAATGAGTCTGCAGGCCAAGTAGGCAAGACTAAAAAAAATAAATAACCCAACAGTAAATAAAACGGTAGAAATATATAAACAACCTAAACAAAGAGAAACAACCTTTAGTAGAATCACTACCCTCATTTCTGGAAGATCTCAGCTCAAATCATGGTTTGGGTTCCTGATGTTTAAAAGTACTTTTGAAATATACATATAATCCTCACTTTGGCTGAGAATCAGATTTCTAGAGTTCTTCAGTTTCTTTACAGCAAATCGGGAACACATGAGAGAAGCCATGTTAAGAAGATGATGACAGACACGCTGAGAGGGCCAGTAAAAGTTTTGGCGCCACTCCAGTCACCAGGAAAATGAGCATGGAGGCTCATAATGAAGGAGGTTCATCTCAGGAATGCCATTAACGTTCTAATTACCTACATTCAACAACTAGAGGGAAAAGTTGTTTTCTTTGGGGTGATTTGACCAGAAGTAATTCGGTGTTGTGACCATGGTAAACACAGCACAGCCTTTACTTGTGATTTGGAACTCAGTGTTTATGCTACAAAGTGAGCATCTGCAAGTCATGAGAAACAATAAGAACATTGTGTGCCTGGGAAAACGCTGTGTAGGAGGACTGGGCAGAACAGCAAGCTTTTGGTCAGTCATCTTGGGCTTCATTAAGTCATTACAGTTTAGCAGACATCTAAAACACACCTTTTTTGGCTTATTTTTTACAGCTTACCCTGTTTAGGGCTGGTGGTAAAAATCTAAGAGGGTCGGTCCAAAAAGGAAGAACATTCAGCAAATTTCATCATGCCAGTTGTCCTAAAGACCAGCGCTCTGCTTTGGATACGGTTGGCTGCCCTGGCCTTCTTATGCGTGGCCTTCTCTATAGCCATTCATGGGGGGAAACTCCCGCATGGCACTGGGGATTTTTGCATCTTCTGCTGGGGCCTTAGTTTCAGCGGGACTCTTCTTGTCATCCTGGTGGAGCTATTTGGCCTGCAGACCAGAGCTCCTGTCTCCTGGAAGAACTTCCCCATCACCTTTGCCTGTTATGCTGCCCTGCTCTGCCTGTCGGCCTC